TTTTTCTTTCTCTCTCTTTTTTTTTTTTTTTTTTTTTTTTTAAACAGAATCTTTTGGCTCTGGCTCCTACCATTCTGGGGAGCGACAGTCCGGTTCCTTTCCCGCGGCAAGTCAATAATAGATACATAAGAAACTCACACACGCTCCTCCCCATTATGGCTGGGAGGCCCGAGTGGACGGCATTGATTACTTCCATAAGGAAGGATGTACCATCCCTCACCCCTGCTTAATTAATCCTGAGTTTTTATTCCTTCCATCGTCCCTGTGATCCGAGTTGGACTCCTCTCAGTATTGTAACTGTCAGTTAATTGTGTTCTAACTAGAGTCGCCCAGGACCTCTCCCGAAATCTGTGACTCCTCAATCCCTGTTTGCATTGCTCCTACCTAAACCTTAAACCCTGAACCCTAAACCCTCAGCTGTAATGCTGACATGATTTTGATGTACTACCTCAGAGAGTCTGACGCACTATTCTTGCTCACGTTGCTCCATATTGTCAAACCAGTGAAAGACTACTCTGGATCCTTCGACTGTTGCTATCTTACCCTTAACCAACGTAACCCATTGAAACGTTTTGAATGTCTCCCGGGCTTTCTCCGGGTTTTGTTGAGCTTGCCTTCTTGCTCTTTGCCATTGTGCCGTGATTTCCGTCTCCAACAGATTGTGTAGAACTTTCTTGGCCTCCAGTCTGTGAATTTGCCCCCTTCCTATTGTCATCTGACATCTTCTTTTCCATATGGTCCGTAATGTATATTGTCTCAAAAGTTGAAATCCTCTTTTTTGTCCCAGTTGCCATTTCTTTGGAAGCTCCATACCGGTGAGGAGGATCCTCCTGTCTTCCGGAAAGGCCTCATCTGAAATATTTTGCCACAGTTCCCTGGCTACTTCCCACACATGGGCCGCCTCTGGGCATTGCAGCAGGCAATGAAGCAGGGTTTCCGTCTCTTCATCAGCACACAGATTGCACTTCTGATTCATCTGATCCCTCCGATTGTGACCTCGGCGCTCACACAGCCAAACATTGACAGGGAGCGTCACGTGGAAAATCAGCCATTGTAGACTTTTGACCCTGCCTAACCGTATACTACTCAATGCTGACCACGGGAGACTAGAGACTTGCGCCTTGGGTACTTCCAACCTCCGTTCCCATCGAATAGCCAGTGATTCTGCCAGTGGGTGAGACCTCCTTCTGAGCCTGTACCCCAATTTGGTTGTATATTGAAGTATGTTTACTCTTCTGAGGGTTCTTCTGGCAACCCTCAGAAAACCTTCCTTGAGATTCCATGCCCATTCTGCCGGGTATACTTCTAAATCTTCTAAAGGCGTAGTTGGAGCATAAATCATATAGTTGTCTGTCTCCACTACTCGTACCTTATGTACTGCTTTTTTAAAGATTGTAATCGGAGAGTAAGGTGACTTATCTAATTGACTGGTGGTGGTCCCAATTTCTTCTGTTGATAACATATCAGCCAACAACCATGTGTCCCCCCGGCCCGTCTTACCCCTTATTCTAAAAGCAACTTCCGGTTTATCCTCGTGCAGCCACGTGGCTCAATCACCCTTTTCACAATTCAACCCCTTCTCTAGCAGGTTTACCCATGCTGGTGGTATGGAGATAAGAACATCATTCAGATTCTCTAGCAATTTGTGTGTACCCTTCATCTCGTTCCGAAGATCTCTTGTCGTCTTCCATCGCTGTTTGTCTTCTGACCATAAATGTCTAACCTGCCAGACTCCATGTTCCACCCATGTTCCCCATTTAGAATCTCTTGCTGTCAGGGTACGCGGCTTCCCTTGGTGATCCTTAATCCACGGATTGCAAAAAAGTGGTTGACGGAGAACCTCCTCTCTGTTCCTAGGTTCTCTTACTCTTGCTGGGAAAATGTCCCCCCAAAGCTTGAGGAGTTGTGCCCAATAAGAGCCATCGCTCTTGCCAGTTGCCCCAGGTGTCCGTTCGCCTTCGATGAAGTGGATGCAGTTTGCCTTCCTCTTTCTGGGTGTTCGTTACTCTTTGCATCCCCTTCTCTATCCGTTCGTTGTCCGTTCTTTCCTCCTCTCGCCCCCCTTCCTCTCTGCTCCCCCTCTCATTCCTGTGCCGCGGCATCGCCACGGCGGGTTGACTTGTTAATCAAAATGGGAACACAGGCTTAGACAACTATGTATGCTATAAGGGGAGTGGGGGGGGGGGGGAGAACGCAGCAAATCAGACCAGGAGACAGCAAGTTAATTGACTGAAAATGCAGAAATATCATGGTGCTATATCTGTGTCATTGCAAAAGAAAGCAAGAGCCCCATGTAACTCTGATGGTTTTATTTTATTTTTGTGTCCGTTTCCTTCAACTTGCGTCATTTCCAGGATGTTTACAGAACGATAGTGCCTATTTCCGCAAATGGAGTTCATTCACTGTGTGCAGTTGGAGACTATGTCTATGCTGGAGCTGGTGATGGGAAGGTATGGCTAACAACATTCTGCCTTTTTTTTTTTTTTTAGATTTTTTTTGAACTATTTGAATGTTTACATTTTGAATTTTTTGAATCTTCAATCTTCTTGATTTTTTGGATTTTTTTTTCGCTTTTGTTATTTATTTTTTTAATGATTTTTATTTTTTTTATTTTTTTTCGGGACAAGGCTCCAATCTATTCGTGGGGAGCAGCACGTGCTGGGAACCAGGCCCAGCGTCAAGTTTGAGAAACTGAGGCCATGTCAGAAATTTAAGCAAAGTTCATAAACGACTCAGAACCCCCCCATCAATCCTCTTTACCTCACTCCGGCAAGACTTACTGCAGCAGAGCCACCATCTCCGCTGCTGCTGTACCCTAATTCCATCCTACGAGCTAGCCCCCTCACTAGTAGGATGCTTAATATCCAACCGTCTGCTTCTCCCTCTCACCTTTTCTTGAAAAAAATTAAGAAGACCTCCCCCTGCCAGCATTGATTGCCCCGGAAACCAGGGGATTAACTGAGCAGGGACGATCCTACTGATATGTCAAATTGGAAGATATGAAAACATGCAACCTCTGGAACCTAAAAAATCCTGTCTACATCATCGAAAGGAAAAAAACTCAATGGAGTTAATAGCAAGTGGCCGGTACCCGCCAAGATACTTGGTGCCAATCGCATCCACCCTCACTCCCTCCATCCCAGTCACTTCCTCACTCCGTCCTCGTAAGGGGTTTCAGAGAACCACTTCTCAGCAGGTGGTGAGCACCATCATCCCCTGAAGTTCCTTGCCCCCACAAGAAGTCCAGTCTCCGTCCTCAAGGGGGTGAACAAGCGCTACCCAACGCCAATCGCGCCAGAGCTCGCCCACATCAGCCGGTACCCATTGGGCAGTCTAAACTACCCAACGCCAATCGCATCTGATAAGAGCTCCCCCTAGCCGGTACCCGTCAAGCAACCCTATTCCATCCCCTCTCTGTCCTTGCAAAGAATCATTTCATGCCCCTTCCCTGACTTCCAAGCAATCTCCAAAACCCTACAGGATACTTTGCTTGACTACCCCATGGGGCCGTTGTTTAGACCCTAACGCAACTCTGACGGACGAAAAAATAAGTCAAAATTTAAGGAACAAAATATATCGCCACAAAGACCTTGACAAATCAACTAGAGAACAATGATAATACAATGATAATACCAAAAAGAATTTGGATTATAGGAGAGACGATGTAATTCAATCGTTGGAATTGAGGAACTTGTATTTGATTCAACCATTTAGAAATGTGAATCTATCAGAAGCAAACTCTGATTTACGATCTTCAGATTAGCAAGTGCATTAGGCTCTTGAGATATAAAGCGTTGCTAAGGTTATTTCCGAACCTAAGCGAATTACCTATATATGAGGGAATCATGAATTAAAGCAAATCCAAGAAAACAATCAGGAGATTCACAATTAACATGAGACTTCTCAATTGGAATTCTAATAAGCCACATCATTTGAAATCGTATTATCAAAAAACAACCAGGGAATTAAAATCGTCAATGAGAGATCAACCTCACAACCTCAGAATGTAAAGGCTTAGATATTCGAAAATTTTTAGTAGCGGCACGTGGGCTAAATCCTAATCCAATATGACGACCTCCTATCCCTCTTCCCTCAACCCACTTACTTACCTCACTACCCTCAAACCCTACCCCTGCGTCTGTGGGGAAGGAAATACTCCCTTCCTCCCACTGCTAGCATCTAGACTCCAAGCACAGCTAACACCAAAGACATAATCCGGCCATCTTCAGTCCCTCAAGGGAACGAGACAGTGCGGCACCCCCTCGTCAAACTTGTTGACGAGTTGCCACAGGGGGTTCAAGACTACCCTGACCATACCCTTTCCATGCTGTCGAGGAAGAGGGAGGGATTTGTGCAGATACGAGGACTGTGAGGACAACAAACCCCACCTACCTTGCCCATCTCCCCCTCCCACCTCGCCCGTAACTTACCTCCCATCACTGCCCTCTCGCCTGGCGTCCTTGCGTCTTCGCCCACCACGTCGGCAAGAACTGGTTGCGGCGCGTTAAAAGTTGGAAGACCATTCGAAGTTGATGGCGCCTCCCCCCACTCCCACCACCACACCCCTTCCAAACCAGGGGCGCCTCTAACATCGCTTCATCTCCAAGGCCGCCACCTCACTTCCAACCTCCGCCTCCATCACCATCATGTCGTGGCGCCCTCACAACCTCGTCGCATGTCGTTCTCGCCATTGCCTCGCCTGCCACTTCGCCCGCATCGTGTGAAACCGTGCTCTAGCGAAGGGGCGCAGCGCTCCCGGTAGCGTCGCGCCCCTCGCATGAGTCAGTTGGTTCACCCATGAGCTGTTGAAATACAGACTCAGTTTTTTTTTTTTTTAATGAATTTTACGATTCTTTTGAATTTTTTGCGTTTTTGATTTTTTTTATTATTATTATAGAAAAAAAGAATGTTGAATGTTTTGAATGTTTTGAGATGTTTTTTGAAACAAGTTTTTTGAATGTTTTGATTTTTTGATTTTTTTTTCTTTTTCTTTTTTTTTCTTTTTTCTTCTTGGCTACCAGCTGGGCTGCGCAAGTCACCTTGTTTGACCGGGCGGCCAGGCTGTGCAAGAACATGGGCACACTGCCAGTAACATAGGCCTTATTTTTGTTTGGCCTTAAGATGGAACTACGACGGAGGAGTTTTCCCAATGTTATTTTTGACAAGGCCCTTAGCGGGTTCAATGTTAAGATAGGAGGGGCCTGGTTGGCCTGGGTCCATCAGCCAGCACGACCCCTGAGGATGGCCGGTACACTGGCGGACCGGCCGAAACACGTGTAGGGTAATCGCCAGTCGTTCGTCAAGCCACGGCGCCAACTCTTTACCTATTGTAGGCTATCAATGAATTTTTACATGCGCTGATTCTGATTGTGCTCAGGGGACTACGCCATATCTTGTCTCTACTCCTTTGCTGTCTTTCCCTCTTCGTCCATGTGTGTACGGCCTGTAAGTGCTGGTGCACTAAGGTATTCTTATGTTGCTTGGAGCTAATCTCTACTGTGCCAGAACCAGGGAAGGGCCCAGCCGTTATGATCCTGGATATCTCACAGTGCAAAAAAAAAAAAAAAAGACAATGCCCTTCAATTGCAACTGAATGAAAGAGATTGTAAAGAGAAATAGACAAAGGAGGAAGAAGAATGGAGAATGGACACAGAAGAAGATGATGAACACAAGCAAGAACCAATGTCACTCCTCCCTCAACTCGCCTTAGCGGGTTCAATGTTAAGATAGGAGGGGCCTGGTCGGCCTGGGTCCATCAGCCAGCACGACCCCTGAGGATGGCCGGTACACTGACGGACCGGCCGAAACACGTGTAGGGTAATCGCCAGTCGTTCGTCAAGCCACGGCGCCAACTCTTTTCCTATTGTAGGCTATCAACGAATTTTTACACGCGCTGATTCTGATTGTGCTCAGGGGACTACACCATACCTTGTCTCTACTCCTTTGCTGTCTTTCCCTCTCCGTCCATGTGTGTACGGCCTGTAAGTGCTGGTGCACTAAGGCTTTCTTATGTTGCTTGGAGCTAATCTCTACTGTGCCAGAACCTGGGAAGGGCCCAGCCGTTATGATCCTGGATAACTCAAAGTGCAAAAAAAAAAAAAAAAGACAATGCCCTTCAATTGCAACTGAATGAAAGAGATCGTAAAGAGAAATAGACAAAGGAGGAAGAAGAATGGAGAATGGACAAAGAAAAAGCAAGAACCAGTGTCACTCCTCCCTCAACTCGCCACCATCTCCCACCTCCAGCGTCTCTCCCAACATCTTTATCTCTATACTTACTAAAGCAAACAAACGGCCCGACGACATGCCCTGTCGCGGGCCCAGCGAAAATCGTTGGAGCTGGGCGGTACCGGTAGGAGGCGGGGACAGGGCAGGAACCGGGTTGGGACACAAAACCGAGGCGGGGGGGCAGGCCGCCGCGCGGACGAAAATTCGAAGGCGCGCAGGCCCTGGCCCCGCGGACGAAAGTTCGCAGGCGCGCAATCCGAGGCGAAGGGGTGGGAACCGGGCAGCGGGAGGCGGCGTGGGGCAAGAAGAGCTTATCGGAGGGTCGGTGCGTTTGCATCGACGGCGGGGACCGGTCGGGGTGCGCATCGGGTGGGCCTCCGAGGAGAGAGCGTGGGGGGCAAGGCAGGTTATCGGACATCGCCTGGGAGTGCGGGGGGGGGGGGGGGGGGGAGAGAGAGAGAGAGAGAGAGAGAGAGAAAGAGAGAGAGAGAGAGAGAGAGAGAGAGAGAGAGAGAGAGAGAGAGAGAGAGAGAGGGAGCGGGAGTTGACGCGCGGGAAGCGCGATGGTCGGCGCGGGCTGTTCACAGCGGACCAGACGAGAGAGAGAGGCTCGCGGGACGCATGAGTGAGAGAGAGAGAGAGAGAGAGAGAAAGAGAGAGAGAGAGAGAGAGAGAGAGAGAGAGAGAGAGAGAGAGAGAGAGAGAGAGAGAGAGAGAGA